GCGGCCTCCGCGCTGCTTCCGGTGTGTGAAAGCACCTTCCAAGTCCCAGAAGCGGCGGGGAGCATCGGTTCGTAATCCGACCCAGAGGATGTCTCTGTCCCAGGCACGCCTAGCCAGTGTGTGCGGAGCGCTTTACTGTCGCAGTGCTCGTGCGCGCACCCTGTTGGACACCGTGACCCCGGCTGCAATCGTACTCTGGCTCTCCTGCTCCTGTTATGAGCGCCAAGAAGATAAACGCATAGGATCTGTTTTAGTTTTGTTTTGTTTAAGGTTTTGGCAACAGGCCACGTGCGCTCTACGGAGAGAGACAAGGGAAAGTGAGAAATCATCCCCCAACCCCCTCAACCCCCACTCGCACCCCGGCAATGGCCATGACCCAGTCCCTTCTCCATTCTCCTGGGATATTGTGTAATTTTCAAGCCACCAGGCCAAGACTCCAATCGCAGTTGGCCATGTGAAAGTCCAGTGCTCTAACCACTAGATCACCTGCTATCTTCCCGCAGCCTCCCATAGAGTTTTCCATAGACGTTTTTGCCGTAAGGCGCTTGCGCTCCCCGGAGAGAGAGGGACAGAGACAGTGAGAGGGAAAGTGAGAGATCAACCCCTCCCCCAGAGGTGCATTCTCCTCCCAGGATCTTGGGCTCACTTGCACACGTGACCCCAAGCCACCAGGTCTAGGCATCGAACTGTGGTGGACCATGTGGGAGTCCAGTGACATAACTGCTACACCATTTGCTGCTCTCCCCTCTCTCCCATAGGGTTTTAAGACCAGGTCTCCAGTCTCCACCTTCCTCTCACTAGCCTCATGCTACCTTTCCAAATGAAAGAGAAACAGAAATTCTAGGCTCTGGGGACCAGCAGGTATCGTGGTGGTTAAGGGCACTGGACTCCCACATGGCAGAGTGCAGTTCCAGTCCCCGGACCTGGCAGCTTGCTTTCTCAATTTCCCTCTCTCTCTCTCTCACTCTGTACTTCTCTGGTCAAATTTAAAATAAATAAAGTTAAATAAAATAATTCTTTTTTTTAAGAATGGCTCTGCCAGTCTACTAAGGAGCCTGAAAATTCACAGCTTACCACTGCACCGTTTCAGCAAGAGACAAGAGCCACAAGGGGAAAACCATGAAGGCTTTCCTTTCAAGAAATAAAAGGTAGTCCATATGACTGGAGATGGCAGTGAGGAAGAAGGGGAGCTGGAGAAACCTAGGTTGTGAGGGTAATTTTCTTCTATGTTGGAAAAGTTGTTCTTTGTCCTAAGAGCAAGGGAAAGCCAGAGTAGGGTTTTTAAGCCTTATTGACACCAGCTTCTGATCTGCATTTCAAAGCAATCACCCTGCCAGAGAAAATGAGAAATGAGTTGAGAGTTATCAGGAAGACCAACAGGCGACATTTCTAAGAGTGTGAAATAAGCTGTGCGCTTGTTTCAAGGTAGTGGCACCTGACGATGGAGAGAGATGAGAAAGGACAAAGCGTATTCAGGAGGCAAAATAAGCACTGTTTAGTCACTGGTTCTGGAGAAGTGAAGGAGAGGAGTGAGTCATGATAATGCCCAGCTTCTGGTTTGGGCAACCAGGTACCCTCACTGAAAAAGGGAACAGAGACGGAAAGCAGACGTAAGGCGTAGGAGGATGCATTGGAAACGTGGTGTTTTCGATGTCAGCCATCCCCACACTGGATCATGTTCTTTCCACGTTTGGAACACTGGTGGATTCTCATTGAACTTAGCCTCCCATGAGGCTTTTCTGACGTGCAGGGTTACCCAGTCCTCTTCCTCCACGCAAGCTCCTCTTTCAGAAGCTCACTGCTACACAGTTCAGGCTCGCCTTCCCAAATGGAAGAAGTTCCCATACTGCCTTGAGATAGAGGAAAGTTTCTGCATTACAAATTTGGTCATGTTTTTCTCACTCAACTTTGCCCTCAAATACCTTAGCATGGTGCTTTGGTTTGAACATATGGGTACCTTCAAAATTCATATTCAACAGTATTAAGAGGTAGGACTTAAATGATTAAGAGAAATGATTAAGTCATGAGTGCTCTGCCTTGTGAAAGGATTGGTGCCCTTATAAGTCCTCCTGGGGGCCTGGCTTTATGGCCTAGTGGTTAAGGGACCTGGACCCTAGTTGGCCAACTGAAGTTTGGATCCTGGCCTCAGTGGCTCACATGCATGTTCCAAATCCCAACAGGCTACAGAAATGGAGGAGAAGGAATTGCAATGTGACTATATCCACTGAGGGTAACCTCTCTCTCTCTCGCACATGTACCCTCTGACCATTTTACACACACACACACATATGTATGTACAATTTTTAAAATTACAAAGAATACTGGAAAAGTGTTCTTCCCTTGGTAAAGTTTAGATATAAAAGAACCCACAGCAGGACCAGCGGGTAGCATGGTGGGTAAGGCCCTGGACACTCCCACATGGCCGACCACAGTTAAATCCCAACAGGCTACAGAAATGGAGGAGAAGGAATTGCAATGTGACTATATCCACTGAGGGTAACCTCTCTCTCTCTCGCACATGTACCCTCTGACCATTTTACACACACACACACATATGTATGTACAATTTTTAAAATTACAAAGAATACTGGAAAAGTGTTCTTCCCTTGGTAAAGTTTAGATATAAAAGAACCCACAGCAGGACCAGCGGGTAGCATGGTGGGTAAGGCCCTGGACACTCCCACATGGCCGACCACAGTTTGAGTCCCAGACCTGGTGGATTGCTTTCTCACCTTCTCACTCTCTCTCTATCTCTATGTCTCTCTCTGGTCAAATTAAAAATAAATGAATGAATAAATAAATAAAGGTAAATAAATAATTATTTAAAATAAAAACACATATAGTAAACCTGGACTCAAAAGTGAAATTTCCTTTAAAATTAGTAAAATGGGGGCTGGAAGGTGGCATCGTGGTTAGGGCCACTGGACTCCCACATGGACAACCACAGTTCGAGTCCCGGACGTGGTGACTTGCTTTCTCACTCCCCCCGGATTCTGTCCCTCTCTAGTCAAATTAAGATAAATAAATAAATGAAGTTAAATAAAACAATTCTTTTTTTAAAAAAAGGTTAGTAAAATCACAAAGGTACCATCGTAATATCACTGATATCCTTTAATTTGATACTAGAGTTTCTTTTCTACATTATGAAGGAAAGAAAAAATTATGTAAGGATCATAAAGAAAAGGAAGAGATAAACCTGCAAGTGATACGAGCATTTAGAAAAATTAACAGAGTATACAATTGAGCTATTAGAGTTTGGCAAGACTAACACAAATACTCATTTTTTTTTTTTTTTTTTTTTGTGGAGAGGTTTTTTGCTATAGGGCGCATGCACTCGCCAGACAGACAGAGAGAGACAGAGAGACAGAAAGTGAGAAATCACCCCCCAGGGGGGATGGCCACGCCGCAATCCCTTCTCCTCCAGTCTCCTCTTGGGATCTTGGGCACGCAGGGACATGTGCCTGGCGTGAGTTTCAAGCCACCAGGTCCGGGACGTGAACCGCATTCTACTACATGGGAGTCCAGCGACATAGCCATTACGCTAACTGCTGGTCCCAAGACTAACACAAATTCTCTACAGAAAAAAATATTTTAAAGAATCATTTATTGGGACCAGCAGTTGGCATAGTGGCTGTGTCGCTGGACTCCCATGTAGTCAACCGCTGCTCAAGTCCCGGACCCC